AGACACTTAAAAGGAGGGTTAAAAACCCACTTAACTATTTCAAAAACTCATTATGGTTTTAGAAATATTACAAATAGTTGTTGTATACTTTAGGGTTTGAAAATGAATTGGTTCCTTATCACTTTAGATAGAAATTAACTCCATAATTACGTGATAAAATAAAATGAAATTAAATCAATTTGAATGATTATGTATGTGGAAAAAGCTTACGCATGCGCCCTCTCACGTTTTAAGGGTTAAGCGCCTGCTCGAGGGTTAACCACCAGCATTAGAAGTATTTTATAAGCACAGTACAAATATTTTCATTCATTTACAATTTTAATCTTAACTTAATAATGTAACCACCATAACTAGAAATTGCATAGAGTACACTGGTACACTTATTGATGTAACTACTAAACAACCATCTTAATATGTCATATCATTACTATAAGTCTTCTGGTCTATCCATCTGTCTTGTTGATTTCCTATCACCATCACAGCCACATCCCATTCCATTCACATCATCTGAGTGTCAGCCATTTTCATGTTCATTTTCATGTTGAAGTTGCACGTTGCGCTTGGCATGTTGCATGTTCCTCAGTGACTCAGGACACAACTCTAGGCAGTGATTATCCATCAGGTCGTAAGGAGACGATGGCAGTAATGCCCCACGTTTACGGGGTCGAACCTGAAACTCTCCAGTTTCCTACCTCCTTCTATCAGCAATTCTGCATCATACTGAGCCGGCTACTCTTGCAGAAGAGGAGAAATAGGGTGAGTAAAATGTTTGGTCGGGTTAAATCTGGAAATCTAAAATGATTCCCAAAAAATTATCTAAATTATTTCTAAAATGACCTTCTAAAATGATTCAGTAAGTGTCCAAATTTATAACACTTTAATCATTTATGCTTCATAAACTAAATCTATGAAAGAACCAAATAAGTACTGGAGACTCGCACTTCTTTAGACAGTTATGGACAGGAACCCTTGTCTAAAATATAAATAAAAACCAAACCATCAAAAAATAGTACAAAATATAATTAATAAATTTTAAAACCCCTTATTATGTGTGGAAAAGTTGGTATAGTACAGCAACAGCAATATACAGTACAATGTAGGATTACATAACTAAAATCTTCATACCAAACGGTGCAGTGAACATGGACTATGTGACTAATAAGAAGGTGGTTGTTTAAGCCATTTTAATTCTTGAACTAAACTGGTTTGAACAAAAAGTGTAGAGATTTTTTTTCTATACATTTTTACCTTCAGAACTCAGTAAAATTGTTCAAACATTTTCAAAGTAAGTACTAGAAAGAGATGAGAAGTTTGGCAAATATTTTAAAGTGTTGGAACTCATAGAAACACAAATGTTTTGACAGCTGTTATCCTAAACTATGTTTTTGCTATGTAGAAATGCCCTTGACAACAGCACAGCGTTAGATAGGTGAAACCTTTAAAGTCACATATAAAAACATTATCCTAGCACTTGTACTTGGTTTAAGAAGGCACTATGCCTAAACTATCCAAACAGCAACAGATACAATTTTGTGTTAAAATGTCAGTTTTGATATGCAGCTGCTACAGACTCCATCTGCCTATTGTGAAGATAAACAATGAAAAAAGTACTGCTTATAACTTGTACCTTTCATATGAAACAGTCAACTGACTAAAATAATTATTTTCCAGACGGCCTTGTGGTTACAAATCATCCACCATGTGTTCTCTGGACTTATCATTGGAATCATCTTCTGGGGCATCGGTAACAACGCCAGTCGACCATTCGAGAACTTCAAGTTCTGCCTGTGTGTTGTTGTCTTCATGATGTACACTTACGTTATGTCACCTATTCTAATAAGTAAGTACAAAATAAAATTGTTAGTATGGCCTATGGTTCAAAAATTTAATTAATTTAAATTTTTAAATTAAAAAGTAAAATATTTGTGGTAAAGTCATAGAGTTAAAATGGGATATATAGTTACTATATGGACTGTAACACATACTGTAAATTGTAATTGAATATGTAAATATCTTTGAAATATCTTAAAGATCTTAGATCTATGATCTTTGTGATATCATATAACATTTTGTTTTACTTTCTAGTGCCAACAGAGATGAAATTACTACGGAGAGAATACTTCAACAGATGGTACGGGATCAAAGCTTACTACATGGCTAGGACAGCAGTCACGATACCAATTACAGTGAGTACACCAACATTTTTTTATTATTTAATATTTTTTTAATAACTGCAATTATTAACAAACAAGTTGACATTAGAAGATCAAAGGTACCTAAATTATACACAGATATCATGTTTCAGATTAGCTTGGATTGAAAAAATTAAGGCATAACTAAACCAGTGAAGATATTTGCAAAGCAAAATTGTTCAAACTTCTAAGAAGTCAGGCACATTTTGGATTGATCACATTCTTAAAGAACAGAGCAAAGAGCTTTAAAGTATTGTCACACTGGCTTCTTCAATGTTAAGCTCTCAATGTTATTCTAGCTCTCTCATAAATGATTAAAGATATAGAAAGAAGAAACCCCTTTGATTTCAGGATAGGCAAATCAGTTATCAGCAGGAGTTCAATTCGTTACTCAAGCTTTTCCAGGGTTTTATTTTTTCCTTGTTCTAAAGCCAAGATTCTTGTTTTTCACAGTTCACACTGTGCATGCTCTTCAATGTTCTTGTCTACACCATGTCAGATCAACCCATGGAACTTGCCAGATTTCTCTGGTTCTGCTCTATAACGACAATACTCGCTTTTGTGTCTGAAGGCATGGGAATGCTTATTGGAATCATCTTCAACTGCACAGTAAGTATAGAAACTACACTAGAGATTAAATTAGAATATAACTAGGACAAATGACATATGGTAAAGCTTGTCATGGTTACATAGTTATCCACCAATACAGAGAAAGTTATGCGAGCCTGAGCGACCTCTCCTATTTTATTCTTAATATATGGAACGGGGTCAGAACTTGAGTATTAGTTTTTTAGATGGTCCAGGCAGACACCTTCGTTAGACCTCTGTACTTATTACACACAAGTTGTTAAATAAACTAAACAATTTTTCTTCTTGTGTCAGATGACTACCGGTTTTGTAATGAGTGCCATGCCAGTTTTTGGTTTGATTACCGAAGTGCCAATAGTTCTTTTTTCAGCAACATTATGTTTTTTTTACACTTGTTTATCTTGGTTATAAAGTTTCCATACAAAAAGTTATGATTTGGACTGATCAAGCCGGCACTATATATTGGTCATTGGGCTAATAAATGGTCCTGGCTAAGAAACAGCTGGAGTCAGTAACAAAGCTGCAAAATACATCTCACGCCACTAATTTGTTATTTCTCTGTTTCACTGTACAGAAGATTACATTATCTGTTGTTTCAGAACGGTGCAGTAGTTGGGCCATCAGTCATGGCTCCCATCCTAATGTTGTCGTACCTGGGGATGGGCTACGGCGTCAGGACGGTGCCCTTCCAAGAGATCCTGATGAGGTTGAGTTTTCTGCGTCTCTCGCTGGTCGGAGTCGTGACGACTTTGTACTACCACGACCGAGCTCCCATGGAGTGTATCAACGACGTCCACCCTTACTGTCACTACCAGGACCCCTCGCTGCTGGTGCGGGACCTCGGCATGGGAGGGGAGGTAACATTGTACAACCTCCTCGGAATGTTTGGATACCTACTGCTATTCAGGTAATTATATGAGCTGAGCTAGCACCGATAAATATGTCAATTGATTGAAACTGTGACGCCCAAAACGTTTTCTTAGTTTTTTGCAAAATTAGACAACTGTTCAGGATCTAGCAATTTTTATATAGACTACCAAGTGTTTATGAGAACATGTTAAGTACATACATAACTCCCAGTACTATGGATTTTCCTTAATTCAACAATGTAACTATGTGAAGTGCCGCACCAAGCATTAGTGGTAATGAGGGAAATGGGGAATGTGTGAAAATGTAAAAATTACTTAATTATTTAAGACTAATAATAATTTTTTTCAGACTTGCAGCGTACTTTGCTATGAGGTTCCGTCTCACCACTCAGCTACGAAGTCACATCATCACCTATGTTCACAAAATCATCAAGCAGAGATAGTGGACACTATCACCGTTCTCCAGTACTTGAGTACTTTGTTCAGCACTCGAGGACTTTGCTTGCTACTTGAGTACTTCATACCGGGCAAGACTATTAATGCCTGTTGTCCCATGTGTACAGCCATTCATCCTCATGTTTCCTTATATTCTTTATTTATTGACATCATCTATCTTATATTTTATACAAGTACTTAAAAATCAAAATATAATATGTAATATATGTAATATAAAATCACCCCTAGTGCCTGTATTTGTTTCTGTAGTGATTACTGTAGAAAATGTCTATGTCTATACTATTTCACTTAAATGTATTAAATGTGAAATGTTTTATTAATTTAACTGTTGCATATTGCATTATCAATTTAATTTAAGCTTTATTTGGTGTATTTTGTTGTTCTCTTACAGCTTTTGATAAATGTACTCAATCAAATGCAAATAAATCTTCAAATACATTACACCATTATTAAATTAAAATCTAGTAACAAAATCAAACTTTGCTTTTTCCTATCTGTTTTTACTTGTACTCATTTCAACAAACCATGATATTATTTTTTACATCAAAGATCATCAGACTGTTTTGTACAAAGTCACTGTTAGTATTAATTTAGTTATAGAACTTATTGTTGTTGCTAATAAAAAAAGTACTAAGTCTTCCTACATCAAGGTACAGACGATTTGTACAATAAGTAGTTATTTAAGGATTTTTATATGTATTGTAATTAATAAATATTACATAAGACATATTTTATTTTGTTGACCATTAGTCAACTTAGTTTTATTACTTTCCTAACTACAATTTTGTCCACCACATTAATTTTTATGGAACCAATGTTGAATTATTGGTGGATAATTCCTGAAATTTTACAAATTTACTGAAGTTTTCGGATTGGGTAGAAAAGATTTAAAATATTAACATATACATAACAATATATTTGACTAATATTTCAACTAAATATTTCCAGCCAGTGAATACGAAAGCTACACAAGTAAATTGCTGTTATCAAGAAATACAAAACCAAAAAGACGCAAATAGCTTAAATATGTAATAAACAATGAAATATAAGTTTACAAACAATTATAAAAAAGTAGGCTACCGAAATAAAATATTAAAATATTAATATAGACACTTAAAAGCTATGGTTTGAATATTTTGTTTAAAAGTTATGTAAGCTCAAGTCCCCATCACCAACAAGGAACTATCAAAAAAAAATTATGTACATGAAAGGGTTTCTGGATCGCTCATCATTGTTTTCTGTTTGTTGTGTATGACATTTAAAATATTACGATTTTATAAGTTTTTTTTAACTTGAACCTTTGAAACTTATGGTTTTATTTTAGAAAACTGAGTCTATAAAGTTTTTGAGCTATGAATTTCCGTGAGAGTCAGGTTAATTATATTTAATTTATGGTGTGGAAAAATAAAATATCTTTGGACCTGAAGATAATTGTACAAATACTACTACAATATATACATTAGATATAAATTAGCTACAAGTTCTTAAACAATTGTCTAGTTGTCAACTAGATTCAGTATGATATTTATTTATTTATTATTCAATCATCGGTAACACCATTTTTACATTCGAATATACATTAAAATAGGATTAAATCACTTTATAAACATAGCATAATTAGGTAATAAAATATGAGCAACAATAAGAATATTAGAAAGCAGGCATGACATGCAAAAGACATTTAACCAGTATAAAAGAAAACAAAAATACATTACATAGGCTGAATCACTTCAAAAGTATGACATACATATAACATTTTCGGGATGTAAACTAACTGTTGGACTGGCCTTGTATTCGTTGAATCTGTTGTGTAAGTAGTGTTGTCAGTTGACCCTCGGGTATGTTAGCCGCCCAAGCAGGTATGGCAGACGGAGGTAAAGTAAACCCAACCATGGCAGCACGCACCTGTAACCAGATTCCCAGAATTTTAAAACATTGTGTTTGTTTAAACTGTTATGTGTGTATGCCTGTAGGCATAATAACTTGCATAAAAACGTTCAAATTTTGACAAACTTTGAATATTACATGTTAACTAACTTCTATTTGAATGTATTTGTTAGGCCTTGGGTAGGATACAAGCAGTGAGCGGCAAGCAGCGCAGCTCTGACATTGGGCCTCATTTACTTGCGTGTAAGTTGTTAAAAGTGCCCGCGATACGTCTGAGCAGTGAGCGACGGTAAGCGGAGTCCCCAAGTGCCATTCATTGTATCAAGTTCAGACCGATTTCGGGCAAAACGCAGCTTGCCCTTCAGACGAATCTTGCTTGTTTTTTTGTAAACCATGCGGTGCTGTTGTAAACCTGCCCTTATTTTTCAATCTCTTTCTCAATCTGTTGAAATTGTGGTAAAAAGTAGAGATGGACATCTTAGTGTATTGAAAGAACCTATCACCGTAGTTCCTAACAACTTCAGAATAAGATCGTAATGTGCCTTAAACATCCTTCTCCTTTTGTTAATCGGTTGTACCATCATTGTCTTCTACCTTATTTATTAAAACTAAGTTGTTCTTTGACAGACTATTGTCAGATAATAAAAATAGATGCAATACGTCCTCCAGATCTGCACAATTTGACATCTCAAACTACATCAAAAGATCAACCACCACACTACACCATGTTAATGGTATTTTTCATTTCTCAATTGCGAATCATTAGTGTTAGCATGCATTCATAAAGCATGACCAAATAGTAAGATGTAAAACTTACAGCATGTTAATAGTATTAATTAATCCACAAATTGTCATGCATGTAAGTGATTGTACAAATGGCGATTTTGCCGTAAACAAATAAATAAATACAATGAAAAAGGAGGAAATTCTATGAGATTCAGGAAAATTACCACTTGTACCACAGCCACCACCCTCCCAATCAGTCGATCGACGCCCACCGCTCGTACTCGAGGCCTTAAGCAGCCCAATTCAACCATGAGAGGGAGTTATCTAACCCAATAGACTTTATACATGACTTTTGGATGAGGGAATTCATCAATTGAGGAAAAATTCTCCTTGTCAAGAAAACCAATCAGTTTTGTTTTCTGGACAGTTGGGGCTTAAAAGGTGGGCCCCAACACACTATAGACACTGGTCAATTATAAAGGCCGCTTCGTTAACCTGTCCTTGGCACAACAATTTTAGCTGTGTTCCGTGAATGACAAGGCAAACATGTAAATTGGACGGTGCTTGCTATCAACAAGCAATAGTTGTAAGCTTGAGACCTTATTTCAAGGGGTTTACCCAAGAACATTTGTTCTACTACAGTGTTATTAGCACTTCAAAATAGCTCTCTATATGTTATATTAATTTAGATTCAACCTTTCAGCTTAAGAGATGCAAAAAACATATCAAAGAGCACGATAAATCACCCGGCATCACAAAAGAAGACAAAAGACAAAAAAGATTGTGAATCAATATTGTCCATACATTGCAGAGGGTTTGGGACGGCACTATTTGACCAGTGTGGATGCCTAATTTTGAAGTACATAATAGTCAGAGCTATATTTGTAAAAAATTAGATGCCGGAACTGTAACCTATTTAATGTGATTTGTACATATTTATGCCAATATTTTTATCTTACCGAAAGAGAGGTACCATAAATCCGTTCCGCCGCGTTTCCCCGCAAATCGAGCACTGGTAATAGTTATCAATGCCGTTAGAACAAACACATTATCTTGACAGTGTAACACCAACCCCCATTTCATCCTCGCTAATTAATACATTCAATCCTACAGTCACCAAAACTGTTTTGACTGGATCCGTTTGTTTTTGACTGAATACTTTCAACTAAGATTTTTCGACATTTTTGTGAAGAACTCAGAATGAAATCTCAACCTACCTGATCACAATCCACAGCCAAATCCGGCCTCGATGTAGCAGTTGAGTAAAGAAGGTCTACTTCTTGTACCTCACTTGTTCTTTGAACCTTGGCAAAACAATCGTTTTATCAGCTATGTTACCTACATTCTTTTTTAAAATACTAAATAACTTTACGTATTGATGTAAAATTAGTAAGTACCGTAACCAATTACCTGGATAATGAAGGACAGCATAAAATTCAATTTAGAACATTCAAAATGTTAGTTTAAGAGACAGAGAAATATATTTATCCTTTTGTATTTTTCTTTTACATGTTTTTCTTTTTAAATGAGAATATGTCATAAATATACTTTTTCATACAAATCTTACATCTGAATTTTTGTAGTGCCAATTAGCACAATATTGACTATTAATTTTGTTCAAGACACAAATATTGGTTATTAGCATTTAGCAACCCAAGGGCTAAATGTAAACTTTTAAGAATAAATTATGGTGATTCAGGAAGCTAAACATAAAATGTCTTAAAAACAGGGTTCCTAACCAAGCAGTTTCGTTGTACCAAGGCCACACTAAAAAAACAGGCCGTAATGCTCGTCAAGCATGACATCACAATAGAACATGGCAATGACGTAATTAAGGTTATATTTTTGTTTTCCATGAAAAGATTAAAACAAGCAGCTGATCACAAACGGCAAAAAATATATCATATAATCTAATAACATAAAATATATATAGTCTTTGCCGTCTTCTATCGTGACGTCATGCTAGACGAGCATTACGGCCTGTTTTTTTAGTGTGGCCTTGGTTGTACAGTGCACATGACAACTAAACCATGTGCACCATGGTCATGGTGGACATGACAGGGGGTTACATGATAAAATCACAAAGATTATACTATTACTACTTTTTAACAAGTCTTCAGCAGATAATTTTTTTTAATAATGGACACAAATAAAAGACCGGAAAATATGAGTACTATATAAGTAATAGGTAAGTATTACAAAATGAAAATACAATTTGATAACACTGCTCCACATTTATAAATTAAGGCTATTATATATTGTCACTTGTCAGCAAGTGCTCACATAAAATTAAAACTATGTTATATTTGAGATTTAGGATTTTAAACAGATATGACAGCAGGATAGGTTCTGAGCCCAGATGAATAAATGTTATTCTACCATCAATCTATGATGCGGTCGAACAAAGATCCAGTATAAATAAACCAGGTCAGGCTGGTTCCATAAAAAAAACTCCTTTAAAAAATGTCAATGTCAATGACAAATTTTTGTTCATTCTTTTAGTTATTTATTGATCTTAGTCCTTGGTTGGGCCTATTCTTTCTTTTATGAATCAAATATGTTTTAAACTTACCACAACTTGTGAAGTGGAGGGTAGGCCTACATCAGCCTGAGTGTTGACGTTTGCAGAAGCAGTTAGGCCTAATTCATTAGTTGGCGCTGAGTCACTGTCACTCTCATTTTCCTGCAAAAAATTAACGGTATAGGTAACTTTGCTGTGAGAACAGTTTAATTCATAACACCTGTTAATTATAATCATATGTTTATTTGTTATTCTATGTTTGAAAAAGGTATGGTAAATAAAGTACTGTACAGTAAGTAGATTTAGAGTTATGACAGTCCCTATCCATGTGAGACAGCGTAAAACATGTTGATACTTAACGATAACTTATAACTGGGACGGGTGGCGTCGTCCTGTAATCCAGCTACTAGGAGGTCACGAATTGTGGATATTTATAGGCATGCACTGTGGATGCGATACTCCTTTGTGTGGATTAAAGTCCGCACGGGTGAGTACTACGACTATCCGCGCAGTACTATCCTGATAATTAGACCAATTCGTAATTACCAAGGCAAAAATGTGGTTCGGATTCCACTATAAACTGTAGGTCCCTTAGTTGCCATTAGCTGTATGGGCTATTAATTAACAGCTGTGTCTAAGGAATGTCGGCCTTAGTCACTAACAAGACTACAAGATCGCGCCACTCATCCTACACTCATCTCCATTCATACTTGGCTTAAAATACCTACTTTGTATGGTCGCCATTTCATAGAACAGTATTAACAGTACAGACATAAACAGTGCATACACTTAAGTCTTAGTAAAATAGTACATGGTGGCAACCACTATAGAGCTAAGCTTCAGAAAAGAAATCCTAGAAGGAAACAATCTGACTATAAAGATAATGAAAATATATACAAGAAGAAAATGAAAGAATTAGAGAAAATGAATACAACAATTCAACTAAGAAGTCAATCACTGTATCAAACACTCATTCAGTTATTCAACCTCTACTACTACTCCAGTTACTCCAGCTAGTTTCTCCTTTGTACCAGCAGATTGGCCAAGATGGAAAACATGATTTCAAAGATATTGGTCAGCATCTGGGTTATCTGAAGAGTCTGAGAACAAACAAATCAACACTCTGATATACACATTAGCTGATGGGATTTTTGCATCTTTTAAACTCCCAAGAAGCTTGGTTACCAAGGAAAAATTAATAGCCTAGTCAGACTGACCTCATCACTGGATGGTCCAAGAACTGGACCTTGGGCCAACAACTCGTACCCAGAAGGAGCCTGTCCCAACATGTCGTCTTCACTCTCATCACTCTCTACGAGTACAGCTTGTGTGGGATACGACATTCGGTCGTCCACTTCCCTCGGTGGCTCTGGAGACCAATCGAACACCATTGCTTAAGATAGGCTACCGTACCTGAAATAAACATAACAAAATTTTTATTGTGAAACAGAATTTTTCAGCTGATTTTTTTATTGTTGTTCTTGTTTACACTGGTAGCATTTTTTTAGAGGAGGAGAAGAGAGACTAAATGCTTTTTGGGAAAGCGGTCCAAACCCATAGGGCCTATGATTTGTGGGTGTGCCAGGAATCGGACGCATTCCTCCTGAACCAAAGTCTGAGATGCTAACCACTAACAACACTAGCAACACGCCCAATTTAATTTCAATTACTGACCCACCCAGTTCACATGTAACTTACAGCTACTCTTTTAAACTATCAAGTCTAACAAATTACGGTTTGATCAATCTAAAAAAAACGTAGAAATGTTAACAGTGTGGATAACAAAATAAAAAGCCAACCACATCACAAGCACAACACCTCGTCTGGGGATCATGAAGATTTAGGTCAGCTTGCAGTAACTTACTGTTGTCATTAAGTAGCACCTTACAATAAGCCTACTGTACACCCTATCAAACTCTAACAAATCTCAAAACTTTCTCTGAGTTCTCAAGTTGATTTATTAGGCCAATGTGGCAAAGAAAACAAACTGGATAGACATATTCTAGTAGCTGGCGAAAATTAGAGCGGTGCAATATCCTAAGCACCAAAGTGTTGCTCAGCCCATAGGTTGATCAAAAAGGGATGTTGCTTAAAAGATGGTTTGCTCTATTGAATTTTGGTAATGTGGTTGTCAAAGATAAGATCCAATGCAATGGTAGGTAACTAAATCTTTGACCACTGAGACATCCATTGTCCAAACGATCAATATATATTTGGCTAATAATTGAGGGGAAACTTGTTCTACGCTGGCTGGAATCAGGGAAACTGGATTTCTTGAGGAATAATGAGAGGCAGGTTAAGTTACCACCTGGATTTAACAAAATAATGAGGTCTTGACTTGCCTTGGGTGTGCTCCAATAGCTAGGTAACATACCAATAACTTAACTACCCAAAGTTTAGGCCACCCCTAGGTTAAATCATAGACTAACCGTTTTATCTATGGTTATATCCATAACTCAACAAGTACATAGTTTACCTAGGGAGTAACTTATTATGTCCGTCTCCAAGTACTTTAATACTTTCTTTTAATACTTTCTTATTAAATGGCGACCATACAAAGAAGGTATTTTAAGTATGAATGGAGATGAGTGTATTATGAGTGGCGCGATCTTGTAGTCTTGTTAGTGACTAAGGCCGACATTCCTTAGACATAGCTGTTAATTAATAGCCCATACGGCTAATGGCAACTAAGGGACCTACAGTTTATAGTGGAATCTGAACCACATTTTTGCCTTGGTAGCCTATATACAAATTGGTCTAATTATCAGGATAGTACTGCGGATAGTAGTAGAACTCACTCGTGCGGACGTTTATCCACACCAGGGAGTATCGCATCCACAGTGCATGCCTATAAATATCCACAATTCAAGTTACATTGTGGGAACTCCCAAATAAAGTATTATTCTGAATAAAAAAACCATCCTACTATTCCCTGTTAGCCCAAGTGAAAGGCCTGCCAGTAAGATTATTAGGTAAGGAAAGGAAGTTTGGCTAAGTTAGGAGTATACAGAAATAAACACAATGCTGGTTTTCGAATACAGTACTGTACCTTAGGCCTCATTATTCATTGTTATGAACCAGAAATTGACATTGATAAAATATTGAACCGTTGATGAGAATTATAGAACTATGGAGTATAATATGAATGCCAGTCCTTGTGATTTAAAATAAGAATCATAGGGACTTCAGAGTCAATAGTTAGGTTAAGCCTAACTAATTTACGTACCGTGCTGTTCCTAACTTGGTAATATTTTTGACAGTAGTTTTTTAAAAATATTATATAATATTTATTTTACACTATCACAGTCAAATTAATTGTACATTACCTATATTATTAATTTAAAGAAACCGTGGGCCCTCTTAGTTTACTACTAATAGTAATAGTCTACACAAAAACCTCAAACAAAATGTCAGTGTCAGTCGTCCTCGTCAGTACGTCAGTACTGTCAGACTGTCAGACAGAATTTGAATTGAATGAGGCAACAAAACTACCAACAGACAGCTACAGACAGACAGAATGCAACAGGCAACACTAGGAGAATTAGCATAAGCCTTTAAAGCAACCGTTGATTACGATGGGTTTCACCTCGTTAATTACTAATTCTTCTAATTAATTAGCTTTATTTATTTATTATCTTTCTTTTACATTCGTTTCGATCACATGACATGGTATCACGACAATATGACTATAGATCAAACATACACCTCAATGGTTTCCAACCCCCATTTCCAATGATATTTCCATTCTGTTTTTAGGCCCAGTTAAGTTCTTATACATTTACATTTTGATAGGGATTTTAAAACTATTGGAAATATAATAGAATAATCGGTATTGTGACCATTGAGAGCACTTGGGTTGGTTTACTGATCGAACAGAATTATGATGATTGGTTGTTGGTTTTGTGATTTAGTTTGGAATTGTGATTGTGAGAGATGGAATTATATTACATCTGGTTTAATAAAAGTTCTAGTCACTCAGAATAATAATAGAGCTACTCGTATTACTGGAAAATAAAATAAATTGGAATTAGGGATAATCCCTTCCTTGGATTTCAAAACCATGTAACTTTGTAACTTTACAAATTATTTCTGTAATTGTAACTTTACAAAAATGTAAATTTATTTATTTTTATCTGCCTTGCATGGCTTGCAAGAATGTAGTTTTCATTTTTTTTAATTTTTAGTTGCATGCATTGTTCTTGCATGTTTTATATTGATTGAGATCCTGCATGTGTTTTTTTCAGCTTTTAATTTAATTTTGTTAGTCAAGAATGCTAGAAGAAGCTTGGCATGTTATTTATTATTTATTGTATTGTTGACGTAGCCTATTGTCCTGTTGAACTGAATGGCCAAATAAATCATTTGAATCATTTGATGTTTATACTCAATGTCAAAGCTTAGGAAGTGTGTTTAGGCTTCATGACTAAGATCAAAAGCCAAGCCACGCACCACGAGTTCTAGAAAATAATACTTGTTTTTATTTTTGATCATTTCATCTTCGTTTCGTTTGTTTTGTTGTTGTTTTGTTGATTGTTGATTGTTTGTTTATGTTTAATTTTGTTATTGTTCAACGTAGTAGAGGTTATTGTGTAATATTGTGGTCTTGGTCTTAAACTTAAAACTTATGTTAAACTTAATGTGGCTTTAAGTTCGACGTTGACCGTTGTGCAAAGGCATGGGCAAGGACAAGAAAAAACACAAGAAGAAATCCAGTAAACACAAAAAGCGCTCAAGCCCAAAGTCAAGCTCTGTAAGTTGTAGGGGTTATATTATCTGTGGTTGTAGTGATGGGATAACCGAATGGTTTCCATGACCGAATAATCAATCAGTTATTTTTTGCGTCAATCGGTTATTTTTAGTTGAATGAATCACCGAATCAATTTTAGTCATTATTCACTGTCACAAACCACAACTAATTTTTATCCTATGGGAAACTGAATGGCATTTAGTCTTTTAGCGTCAATCGGCGATTTTTAGTCGAACGAATCGCCGAATAAATTTTAGTTACCTGATGATGTGACAAACTAAATCAACGAAATAACTAAATCACCGAATCGCACGTTAAGACTAATTCAACCGAACCAGGATAAAATAACCGAATTAGTCTATTCAACGCCAATAACCGATTGATTCGGTTATTTTCATTCGGTGATTCCCACCATTATGTGGTTGTAGGCTAGACCACCGGGGTGAAGAAATCTCTTTAGGCTACCTGTCACTTGACCTGTTGAGCTGCAATGTCTATTAGGGCTGATTTATAAGGCATGTATTTACCACATTATCCCTCAAAAACAATATAAGTTAATCTAAATACCAAAAAAAGCTTCTGGTAGACCTATTGATGTGTGTAGGCCTAGCCCTACTTGGGTACACTTCATTTTATCTGTTGGCACAAAACACAGAATGAGTAATCTTGATTATTCGATTGTTTAATTCAATACATCGTTTGGTTAGTTATGTTAGGTTAACCTTACCTAACTAATCAAACGACCTACGTACAGAAAGAGGAACACATACACACACAAGTAATCAATACTTTCTCCATATAAGTACTAAGTTATGTATAGGGAGAGAAAGTAAAAAGAATATAACTAAAAGAAGAAAAGCCTGCTGTGAGTTGCGACTAACGAAAAATCCACACATTCCTATTTCCTTAACTGCTACATGATCCATCTAAACTTACTACTTATTTATTTTAGGTTCGTTTTCGGCCTTTAGGGCTATTGAAACAAAAATATTGATTAATACTCAATATTTTTTAACTACAGTAGGTACCAATATCAATTAATAATAAAATGAAACCGTCACAACCTACCTAACTAACCAAACTTGCTGATAATGGAAAAATCAAATGCAAGTTTACTAATTGAATTGATAGTTTCAATCGATATTAGCTTAGCCCAGTTAAGAAACTGTACCCCCCCCCCTTTACACTTCCTCATGTATGATACATACTGCATCTAACCGAGACTGGATTCGGCCTACGAAGCTGTCTTCGTTGCTTGGCCATCAATAAGATTAAGTGGTATGAGTTATTGGAGGCCTCTGCCTACTAGGGATGAGCTTCAATAGGCCTACTGGTAAAACTGAACTTATAGGACTACTTATGTTATATTGAACTTTTTTTGCCTTAGGCTATCTACCTAAATTAGACTATTTTAAGTTAAGCACTTTTTACCATTGGCACTTTTGGGGGAAACGCCTATTTCACCCTGAAAATCGTGTTTGAAAATCAAGAAAAATGCTAGAAATCAATGATTTTAGACGCATGTAAAACTTTTTGGGTACAATTTCTTAACTGGACTAACTTATGCTAATAGGCCTATCTATTGAACCTATCAAATTTAAAATATTGTTTAATAATTGATATATTTACCAGCTATATCAGTTATAAAAATAAACTATCATAACCTAACCTAACCAACCAAACTTGCTGATAGTGAAAACATCGAATGAAGGTTTACTAATAATCGGTAGGCCTATTATCATAGCTAAGTTGAGAAACTGTAGGTAGGTACCCAACTTCTTTTTACTACGTGTCAATAAATTAATACTAACATAACCTAGCATAACCAGGGTTTACCAAAAAACGGTCATTTTGGCACATTGTTTACCTAAGCATGGGTTAGGTTGGGTTGGGTTAGGTTAGGTTAGGTTAGGTTAAGTTAGTTTATTATATATTTAATTTGGTTTACCCAAAAATGGGGTAACTTTTGGTACTTTACTATTTTTTACGATTTTTCAAACCTGGTTTCATGGGTAAAAACGGCATTTGCCAAAAAAGTGTTTAAAATGGACTAATAATAAAAAAAAACCACCCTAAGTTAAAAAAGAAAATTATCAAGCCCCAAAAATCATTGATTTCTAGCATTTTTCTTGATTTTCAAACGTGATTTTCAGGGTGAAATAGGCGTTTCCCCCAAAAGTGCCAATGGTAAAAAGTGCTTAAAATAGTCTAATTTAGGTAGATAAGGCAAAAAAAATTCAATATAACATAAGTAGTATAAGTTCAGTTTTACCGGCCTACTTACTGTAGTCGATGTATTCGATACATCAATGTTTTTCTATCAATATTCTATGCTTTTTACATTGATGGTAGACTACCGGTGTTTTTGTTACATGAATATTATCACGGAAAACATACTACTATAACCCAGAATGCTGACCACGTGTTAAACAGTGTTAAGTACTCGGAGAGAGCTTTGCCTGTCAATTAGAAGGCAGCGATGTGATATTATATATTACAATTTTTCCATGGTTTTATTCTTTTTACTTTCTTGGCCCAATTTAGAAGCTATATGCTAAAGAGTTGCCGTATCCGAGTTAGTTTTGTTAGTTTTGTTTTATTGATTTAGGTTGAGAGCAGTAGCAATGATGAATGGGTAGAGAAAGAGGCTGCCCCACCATTGTCCAAGACACAACCATCCTTACCACCAAGACTTGACAATGTCTGTACAATGGACGAGTGGGCATCAAACCCTGCATTACTGGCCTGCACCTCTCGAGATCAGCTGAGGCAGGCCAGGGAGAAAAAGGACACAAAAGAGGAATATGATAAATACATGTTAGATAAGGTAGGTCCCATAAATCTTTAATGAAATAAAAAATTCTGATTACCTAATCCACTACGGTACTGCAATCAGATTAAATTTGCAGTTTTAAATCTTAAAAAGTTACTTAGGCCTAAACTATAAAACAATTCTTTTTTACTAAACTAGGTATAAGAAAAGGTAATTATGTCAATCTCCAGTCAACTCTCTAACTTTTTTTTAATCTTTTAGCCCTTTTGCTGCCGACGAGAGCAAATGCGCACGTCGGGGTTTGTGCTAAAATGGCCGACGTGCGCAATAACGCTCGTTGGCTATCGGGCGAAAATTGCCGACGTGCGTTATAAAGCACATCAATGTTTTCTAACTTACTGGCCTTATATGCTTTCCAAACCCCTCCAAATTCGACTCGGATTATTTGCAGACTATAACGAAGCTGTTTACAGACGATTTTATACGGTATGAGCCTATAACCAATGAAGTGACATATGTTGTATCCGCTAGTGGGTGGGGTGTCCAGAATAAATACTCGGGCGTGATGTTAATTGGGTTCATTTATTAAGCGGATAAGCAAATAAATACAAATTATAATATCTTACTAATACATGACTACGCTAATATCACAGAGAAATCCCCATTATTAAAAGGGTATAATTTAGAGGGAGGGCTACCTACTACTGAACCAAGGGTCGGGCAATGTAAATCTCCTATTAGCCTATCCCCACATACCTGCTAATATCAGCGGGAGAATCATGACCAGCTAGTTGTTGGCTGGACTGCGCCTAGGCTGATTCTGACTGTAAGTTGGTGGTTCACAAGGACCGACCATATCTAACCTCAAGGTGGTGGGGGTTGTGACGCAAATGCTGGCTTTTGCCCAATTGTGACAATCCCTTGACGTATCCACATTAATGTGTGACTAAACCAATTACCACGTGATTCCCGAATTGTGCTTAATGGCTGTTCACAAAATAAATAAACTACCAATTAATATCAAAGGGTATATCCACAGCTAATGGAACATCCTAACGTTATGCATTCATACTCCATAATCCATTCATACAGACATTTTGCCTATTTTAACACTTTTTTTTTTTTAAACACTATATATACTTCATTACACATTTAACATTCCACAATTAATTCATAAACACCAAAATATCTAAGATAGCACCCTCAAACTTAAATTCTAAATAATACAACCTTCGCTTAAACACTTAAGGAACATACAACCCGTTGCATTAATACTGCTTACAACCTGAGGTAGACAAGGAAGACAAATAACCCTGAGGACGGTATAAACATGACTAAAGGGACCGCTTGAGCCTCAATTGGCAGGGTGCGGTTACCCAAAACGAACAGGCAATCTTTTAGGACCTGTCCGGTCACTGGGGTGGCTCTTAACGCCTCGAATGGCATGTGGCTATTACGTGACAATTTTGAATTTTGATTACAATGAATTGCAATAGATTCGGAAAGACACATGCTTAGAGACCCGCCGTCATCATCAATTGACAATTAATGTCAACATCAATACATTTCTCATATCACCGCAGCGTTACTTCATATTTATTAACTGGGATTCGGTAAATGCACATGCTATATGTACACTTAGCGAACCCGGTACGCGTACATACACACGTATGTACCGCACCCGCGTCAACACTAACGCGTTTAGCACTGATCTTGGTGCTTACCATTTTGCTGCGGCTACAACATAATACATTTCTTAAATACTACAATACCATAATGCACACAAAATAACACAAATATTGCCCTTCACTCACTACACTTGCACATTCACACGAATTCACTGATTTGGCGATACTTCTGGGGTTACAAATTGGTTTCTTCTTGAGCTGAGGACTCCGCCAGGTGGACTTCTGCTGCTTGTGAACGGTCGAGGGTGGACATGAGATTGATTCCTGCGTGGCTGCTCCATCGGACCCCTGCACTTGGAATGATTGCTCTCCGGTACATGGTTGGAGTCGGGCTAGGCACCTCGCTGTCTACAGTTGATGATGTCTGGGCTCCTTGACAGTGGCTGATCACCCAAAATAGCTGGACGACCTTTCCCAATGGCTTTCGACAGTAGCAGGTCAAACAAGCGATGACGCACAAAATGATTACTGTGCCAGCTCCCCAGGCTACCTTCCGCACCGTTTGCGCCGCTTTCAGGTCTCTTTGCTGTATCTGTATGTGCTCCAATACTGAAGTTAGGTGGGAATACGTTGACCCAAAAGTACTTGCAGATCTGACGACTTCTTCAATCGGCTTCAGCTCTGTAGTGTTACGTGTTTGGATGACGTACGACTGCACCAGCGCCTGCTCTTTGATGTCCAAGAGTGTCTCCAATTCTGGCAGAACTATGGATTCTCGAAAATTCTGGAATTTCATAAAACCAGTGCTATATGGAAGAAGCGATAGGTTGCTGTTGAAAATGTGACAATGAGACGAATTTTGTAATATTCCAGTCCCGTTGATTCTGATCGTTGTTTGCCTCACTTCATTTCTGCATTCAAAAGTCAATGTTATTGCTGTTGTTGTGCTGTACACCCACAGCCCTTGCGACGGCACCTGGTGAAACACAGCGTCCATTGGTCCCTGATGCACCCTCCTCTGACAGACTCCTGGGGTCGTCGTTCCTCGCTCGGCTAGCAGTTGAGCTTCACAGCTGGATTCACACGTAGGCACACTGGGAATAGTGGTTGACACAGTGCCTGTTGTCCCTGGGTACATCGCTGGAGTTGTTCCTCGCTCAGAGTGGCATACCGCTGTCGATCTGGCGTAATAGCTAGATATGGGGACAGACTATGGAAACTTACATATGCCCTTAATTTCTGATCATATACAGGGAGGTTAAAGACTCTACACTACTCAAAGGATCTATCTGGGGATTTTAACAAAACAATAAATATTACTCTAATCCCATAAACTCAATACTTCTGACTAATAAATACAACCCATTTTGTAAATTTACAGTATAATTTAATTGTGAGACTTGCAACTCCACCGATTGTGTACGCATTGTAAACTAACTAACTTTATTTTCAAAAAGTCTTGCAAGCCCTATAATATCTGAATGTGTGACTTTCAACCCGTCCTGTAATGTTTTTACGTAAATTACTTATTCCTAACTAACATAAACTAATTCCACCTGAATAATAGCTAATTTCCCCAATTTTATCATTTAAATTATAAAAATCTTCCAAGTCTAACGTTCCAAATACTTGACGCATACCTGTCCCTATAGAATCAAATATAGCCCTTTTTCCCCTTATATTGTCCCTATCATCCTCCCCATCTAACAAAAGTTTCAGTTGGTCCGTTATCGCCCGTAAATGCATTACTCCCTCCTTCATCCGCATTAATTCATCCTCGGGAATAGGCAACCCTATCTCGGAAACGTTGTCTGCAATACTATACACCGCATCTGCTAACGCCGACACTAGTTCATCATAATGTTTTATATCTAAGGTTGACGCGACCTTCCACGCGTCCCCTGTAACTATCAAATCTCTTTCCTTGATGAACATTACCCCTGCTGGCAGCAATTCACAATGCCTTGCTCCACATACTAACTTCCCTTCGAGACCAGGGTCTAGTGTGGCCACGCTGCAGAGCGTGCCTGCAAACAAACGAAATACCGCCTTAGTAATAGAAGTACCGCCATATCTTACGAATTGAAACAAATAGTGTTAGTGCAACACATTGTTAATTTTTTTTTTTTCATTCTTTCTTACATTTATACCATACGCCTTTTACACATTTACCCCCATATGCATTTATACAACCACAACAAAAATTTAATAATATCAGAACAACGTCGCATACCTACAAACAATAACGTCTCGCGTTTCAGCTAGGAAGTGCATCCAAGTTTCATTTGTTAAAATACAAAATTAATTTCTTCCATTTAATTCAATAACATCAATTTTACTCAAGGACTGGTTGCTGATTGATTTCTGGACGTGTGCCTAGTATTGTACAGATGAGTCGTTACTCTCGTATCTGGCACGTCATCTTTATTTTTTTTTGGACGGTGTCCAGTCAACATCCCTCGGATCATCAATCATAGTTAAATTACCAGTATCCTCCACACGGCTTGAGCTTTCTGAGCCTAATGACTCAGTCACAGAACATGGACTACCCCAACCTCGGAAAGTACTTTGGTCCGAGCTACTACTGGTGTTTGCCATATTCATATCGCCCGTGTCATCTTCTATTTCTGGTACTTCCGGCGCCTCGGTTCGCCGCTTCTCCGGGACGTGTGCCAGGCCACTTCCGCCGTACTCCGGCCTAATTCCGACAATCCTTGGTTTTGCAAAAACCATGGCATCCGGCCGCAAATTTTGATCGATCCTGTCAATCACCGGACGTTCATCCGCCTTATCACTTACCACAACCGTATCGTCCTTATTGCTAAAATCATTACCAATACCTAATTTCTTTGAATTTATCATATCCCAACACTATCTCATTTCGCAAAATTTCCCCGTTTATATTTAATTTATTTATACATAAATTCATTTTACGTTCTCCTAATTGAATTTCATAAACTAAATCTGATAACTTGGATAGAATGGTATGAGGCCCTGACCAGTACTTAACAAATTTCTGCCCCAACGCATTTCTAATTTTCGGGTGAAACACATATATACTGTATCTCCCACATGAAATTCTATCAATACTTATTTTTATCACAATACAGTTTACTCTTTTCCTTAAAAACATTTATATTCTCAACCAATTTTAACGCTTAACTCACTGCGTCTACTAAATTACCACATTAAAAAAATTATTGGTTTTGTCGAGAGTGCATGTGCCAGTGTGTGCACTTAAACACTTTCCACTGCCTCTCACCCCAAATAAGCTAGATATCATCATGTGTCAACTCAATTAATGGCTTTACAATTTCACTAAAATTTGAAATAAATTTTCTATAATAATTTACCAACCCCAAGAAACTACGTATTTGTTTAACATTTACTGGAATAGGATATGTGCAAACAACTTCAACTTTCCTT